GCTCTTTTTGGTTATAAGAGACGATGGCAGAAACATTATGTACAAAATAAATTACAAATAACGCGGAAAAACACACATAATAGTACAATTGGTTAGATTCCTATCCTAGTGGTGTCTGGATGTGGGGTAGTCAAAAGTTTGGTATTTGATCCCATATTCGTAGCACACAATGGCTACATCAAGCTTGTGACTACAAACTTGTTGGATGCATTTGCTCTTTGTTTTGTTTGTTTCAGATTATTTTGTGCCCAATAGACATGAATGGTAAATAATGTATTGTGTCATTTTGGAGTTACTTTATTGTAAATAAGAATATAATATGTTTCTGAACACTTCCAATAGCATGTCTTGGGTGTATGATTTTTGACCCTCTAACTTTCTCACTCATCATAATATCAAAGGCTGCACTGAAATCTAACAAACAGCTCCCACAACCTTATTATACATTTCTTTCAGTCATTTGTGTCAGTGCAGTACATGGTGAGTGTCCTTCCCTATAAGCGTGGCGAAAGTCAGTTGTTAAATTGTTCACAGAGAAATAGCATAGTATCTGGTCAAACATGCATAAATATCCTACCTCTTAAAGATGCTAACCTCCCCTGTTATTGGTAATGGTGAGGGGTTAGCATGTTCTGGGGGTATGATATGTATGCCGCTGTAACTTTGTCACTCATCATTATTGACGAGTCATTTCCGTAATCATGGTAGCAGCCACATTAACGTAGAAGTGTTTAGAAACATATTCTATCCTTATTTACAGTAAAACCTCTCTCCCTCTCTCCAAGAGGTCGGCTTAAAGACAATCAAATAAATAAAAAACATTGAATCTCCCTACAACCACCATTACGTGTATTATTAATGCAGCCCATTTCAAACGGAGGACAGGGATTTCATGGGCCAGTTTCCAGTGTAGAATATTTCCAATCAGAGATCTGATTTCTCCTATATCAAGTAATGCTTTTGAACTTGAAGCCAAGCTCACTCTTTCACTGTGCCTGGCACGGTATGAACATATGGCAATTTTTTTAGTTGGTGAACACAGCGGGAGTCTGGGAGCACAAGTCCACCGCTTTATTAAAAACTTCACACCATGAAACTCTCCAACTGAGATACGGTACCTTAATTATTTGGTTTCAGTCTTTAGTAGTTCTCTCGTAATCCCAGTTAAAAGACACACTGGTTTCCACATATTCTGTAAGGCCCTGAACATGGTGTGAAATACATTAACAGAATCCAGTTAAACGGAGCAAAATAATTATCCCCGTTCTGATGAGAAATCTGTTCTAATCCAACCCTTCATGACTTCTAAACCAAAGACCTTGGCTTGACGCCAGGCTATCAAACACACTCAATTAAAACTGATTTAGCTGATAACACCATAACAAAACGTCAGGTTTAAAAATTCATAAACACAACAAGAGCTATTTTCCCAACAAAACACTGATCTGCTCAATGGAATAGTAACAAATATAATTCTGGAACAGCCAGCAGATTTCCTGTTTCAGCATGACAATGCCCCTGTGCACAAAGCGAGGTTCATACAGAAATGGTTTGTCGAGATCGGTGTGGAAGAACTTGACTGGCCTGCACAGAGCCCTGACCTCAACTCCATCGAACACCTTTGGGATTAATTGGAACACCGAATGCGAGCCAGGCCTAATCGCCCAACATCAGTGCCCGACCTCACTAATGCTCGAGGCTGAATGGAAGCAAGTCCCTGCAGCAATGTTCCAACATCTAGTGAAAAGCCTTCCCAGAAGAGTGGAGGCTGTTGTAGCAGCAAAAGGGGGACCAACTCCATATTAATGCCCATGATTTTGGAATGAGATGTTCAACAAGCAGGTGTCCACATACTTTTGGTCATGTAGTGTATATGTAGTCATCTGTGGGGAAAAATATTTTATACAATATAGTTCAACAACCTGTGTTGCATCATAGTCCAGTCAGTTACCAAGGGATCATCAGGGAACAGTTATTTCAAATCAGCAGTGTTAGGTCAAACCAACAGAGGGGGGACGGACTGACTGATCCACACCTCTCAACCCTGTCATTAACTTCTGACTCACACCAGAGAGAGAGAGAGCGAGAGAGAGCGAGAGAGAGCGAGAGAGAGCGAGAGAGAGCGAGAGAGAGCGAGAGAGAGCGAGCGAGCGAGCGAGCGAAAGAGTGTGTGAGAATGACTGAGTGAGTGAGAGTAAGTGAGAAGGCTCTCCGCTCTGTTCAGGTTCAGTAAACATTTCCTTTCTGAGGTAAAGGTAGCAGGAAGTTAGTGATCAGAGGTAAAGGTAGCAGGAGTTTGGTGATCAGCGGTAGCAGGAAGTTAGTGATCAGAGGTAGCGGCCCCTCTAGCTCAGCTTTTTGTCAGCTCCTGAGCCTCAGCCAGCCAGCCTTTGAAGAACAAACATCCCCCACTCCCCTAACACATGCAAAGAAAGACTCAGTTGTTTATGGAGGCGTCTTACGGTTATCACACCGCAAATGATTCTCCTAAGAGTAGACAATTTTTAGGAAGTATTTTTTTTAAAGCAATAAAAAAGGTACATAGAGTTTTGCTGGAGGAGATGTTTATATTTTAAGTGGCGCTTTCAAATAAGCCTTGAAGCAACTCTAAGCAATAGCCATCATCATAAGTGTGTCCACACTCCTTGCCTTTAAATCACTTTAGAAGTAGACTAAAGTGAATCCACAGGGAGGGGCAAGCAGCACGGTCTCTTCTTGATTTCATTATCACCTATCTCTGTATCCCTGGGAGACACATATTGGACCAGTTGGGCGCCGAGGCGAGCACCAATCGGCTTTGATTACTGTCTCCGCCCAGCCGAGCTGAGCCTCTGACGTCTCTGTGATATCACTAAGCCCCAACCACCTGGCGAGCCGGCCCAGGGTGCTTTGCAGCGGCACCGTGCAAGGGCCTCTGAAGTTGAGTTTAATCTGAGTATCGGCAGATAACTGCAAGTGGCTGAAACATTCAGCTGTTGGTGTGATTAAAAACAGTCTTGGAACACACACACACCGCTACTCCACCCAGTGACTTTATGACAAAACAAGCGTAGCAATAAAGAGCCCACCTGTCCACACCACGTTTCCCCCATCCGCTCATCTGAACTGTTTGGCCCTCCTCTCCTCTGCAGTATCAATGGGAGCTGTGTGTTTTATCAGGCTGGGCAGTCCTGCAGTAAATGACTGGCTACCCTTTTAATACAACACCGGTTCCACAGACTGGAGCCAGATGTAATCCCTTAGTGTGTGTTTCTCCTGAGTCCCTGCAGAAGCCTGAAGCCCACTCCTCCTACCATCACTTGTCCCGTCATCCTGTCTTCTCACCCCTCACCATCTCCCCCCTCAGCCGTCACCTCTCCACCTCAGCCGTCACCTCTCCCCCTCTGCCCCCTCAGCCGTCACCTCTCCCCCTCTGCCCCCTCAGCCCCCTCACCTTTACCGAAGCCCTTTATGAGATTGGCCAGGTAGGGTGGTACAGTACATTATGAGTCAGACGTGATCGTTGATTAAAATGTTCATTAACACTGCACAGCTCAGGTGATGAGACCTGCCGCTCCTCCCCCTCCAGCTGTCCACCTGGGCCCATCTGTCTCTTTCACACTACTCCACCCAGGTAAACACACACCAGTTGGTTAAAAAAAAGAGCCTCTCACAAACCAACGGTCACAGACACACCCCAACGATCACACTTTCTGGTTTAATAAACCAGCCTCTCTTCTCGCAACTACCAAATACAAAAAACTATCTGTTTGATGAAGACCTAGTCAAGCAAAATAGATAACCGAATGCACAAACACATCAACTCATAAACACACACTCCACGCCACTGGCTCCATGGCTGTAGCACAAACCCCAGTCTCACCTACACACACCTTCTGTTTAATAAACATTCGCCCCATCCCAACCTCCAGGAGCTGACATCAGTCACCATAAACACCATTATCCAAGCGTGGGCGCACACACACACACACACACACACACACACACACACACCATGATGGCTGCTGCTGACCCTACGGCTCTGAGAAAGGACTGATAAATACAGCAGTGTGTGTAATGAATTAGTAACACTGTGTTTTTAACATTTCTCTGGCAGCCTGAGTCGCATAGGTGGAAAATGCTGCTGGTTGCTTCACTCATTAGGTAGCAAGTCTGTCTGTCAGATTAGAAGGAGAAGCGACGACTCCACTGTGTGACTCCACTCGTTTTTTTAACCACCGCCGTATTAAAGCATATGAAGTGAGACGCTTTAATAGACTAATCTAGCAGGGGTCAGAGAGTGCCCTGAATCAAATTTAGGAGAACAGGAAATATGAATTTGAGATGACTGTTAAATGTAAACAGGAAGGAAGGAGATAATCAAAAATATGAAATGAAGGAGGTTGAATCCTGACCTACGGACAGAGAAAGTTGACCCCCATATATCATGCCTCTGTGACCAGTGTTTCACGGTTTATTAGTACTGGATTTGGCTTACTTGATTGCATTTGATACTTGAAAGTTTGGGGAATCACTGCAAAAATGATGCATCTCTCAAGCCTACAGCGAGCTAAGCTAAACATTCTGTAGAGAAATACAGTGTTCATTTTAACTGCACCTCATACACTCCGACTCATCCCATAACCAATATACACCGTACTAATCATCCCATACGCTCCGACTCATCCCATAACCAATATACACCGTACTAATCATCCCATACGCTCCGACTCATCCCATAACCAATATACACCGTACTAATCATCCCATACGCTCCGACTCATCCCATAACCATACATAATGATATACATGGGAACAATGTGCTGTGCCTTCACACCACATTCAGTCAGTCACACAGCAATAACATAGACACCGTGACACACACACACCCAAATCTACGACAACAGCTGGGGAGAATCCAAACAAACGTGGATAGAGGAGACGTCAGGAGGAGGGAAAAGAAAACAGAGGAAAGCTGTTTCAGAGGGGTTGTTAGTAGCCTGTCTCTGCCTGAGCTGCATTCAGAAGATCACATCTGTATTGAGCTGTATCATTAGAGGAGTTTCAAAAGGCTGCGCGATGATCAGGCGAACAGCGTTGACAGGACATGAGGAAACAAAGCATGCATTGTAGCGCTTGTGTATCAATTCAGTGTTTCCCCTCTCATCTCTTTCAGCTGTAACTCAACACCAAAGCCTGATGGAGTATGACACATCATTAGCAATCGTGACAGAAGGAAATCATTTAGACTGATGTAAAAGGGATTTAGTATGCCTGTCTTCTACACTTTATTGACAGCCAGCCAGCCACACACACAGAGACAGAGACAGACAGACAAGAATAGGTGAAAGAGAACAAGGGAAAAGCCTAATTGGAATATTTACATCAAGAGCGTCACTATGTACACTGTGGGGCCTGACCGCACTGAGACCATGAAAGGCTGAGGAGGAATGTGGGTAATTCACCAGGCGGCAGCTATGCCGAGGCCCTTGATTAGTGTGGATCCTCTGTCAGGATTCTACAGCCTTCCGGAAATACATTCATTATTCCACGTTGTCAGTGTCCCAGAGCATTGTTCTACGTGTCACCATAGACATAAACATCCATGTTGGAGATTTGACGAGTCTGACTACTACAGTAATTGCTGAGACCTGAGAGATAAGATGTTTTTCTAACTATTGTGTGCATGTTTCCCCTTAAGTAGTGTCAGAAGCCAAGTCAGAGAAAAAAAACAAACTAACCCCTTTCAACTAAAAACAAACTAGTATAAAAAGTATTACCCCCACGCAGGAGGTCTGTCAATTAGATTGACAGACTGCCAATCCTGGCCTTGTATATTTGACACTTACACAAAAGCAATGATCCTGATATCCTAGGCATCTCTGTGCCTTACAGGTGTCCCACACAGTGCCTGAGGAGAATACCTGTCTCTCTAGGAGGGTCATGGCTAGAAGGGATACAGCTTGTCAAATGAACGTCAAAAGTTGAAATATTTTGCATTTTAGCTAATCCTAACTCTTTCCCTAATGTAAACTAATTATCCTAACCTGCTATTTAAATTATCCTAACCTGCTGTGCAAGTTCTCCTAACTTGCTACGAAAAGTCAAATCTGACAAAAGCTGTATCCCATCTAGTCAAAACCTGTAGGAGGGAGATACCAGTGTCCACAGAAATCGAGAGCAGTACTGATAACCACCGTCTCTCCCCCCAAAATGTCTTTAGGCATTCTGTCTCCCTACATAAATTGCCATGTCCATTTAGTTTGCCTTTCATATAACAGTCTTATATCTGTACTCTTTGTACAGTGTGGATTTATCCCCAGGCAACAGGAGAGAAAGTCACTTTTATCCACATTCCCAGAAATGACTAAGTAACAAGAGGGGGGGGGGGGGGGACTAATTATGTTTCACAAAGGTGCGTCTCAAACCAGGCTTATTATTCACTTACTACATCCTTGAGTGGTGGCTCAACACTGACCTTGTCATGCATAGGAAAATATATTTTTCCTGCCCTGTTTAGAGATGGAGTATTGCGCGTGTGTGTGTGGTGTCTTACCGGTGTCATCGCCCTGGCCCCCCTCTCTCTTCAGCATCTGAACAGCCCCCACGTATTTCTTCAGCTGGACCTTGAGGACCTCGTTCTCCCTGCAGACGCAGACACAAACAGAATCAAGGCCCTGGCCCAGAGAGACAGAGCATCAGACTGGACCAGTAAGTGTGTGTGTCTGTGGGGGGCTTACAGCCTTGTAAACCCCAGCCCATCTCTGGAGCTGGATTATACATGCAGCCCTACAGGTTTCATGTGATAAGCTGTAGACCACACTATCTACCAAGAGAGATTTCATCTATATTCTTAGTAACTGTCTATATACCACCACAAACCGATGCTGGCAATAAGACCGCTCCTAGTGGCCGGGGACTTTAATGCAGGGAAACTTAAATATGTTCTACCTAATTTCTACCAGCATGTTAAATGTGCAACCAGAGGAAAAAAAAAAAAAACTCTAGACCACCTTTACTCCACACACAGAGAAGTGTACAAAGCTCTCCCTCGCCCTCCACTTGGCAAATCTGACCACAATTCTATCCTCCTGATTCCTGCTTATAAGCAAAAACTAAAGCAGGAAGCGCCAGTGACTCGGTTAATAAAAAAGTAGTCAGATGAAGCAGATGCTAAGCTACTGGACTGTTTTGCTAGCACAGACTGGAATATGTTCCGGGATTCTTCCGATGGCATTGAGGAGTACACCACATCAGTCACTGGCTTCATCAATAAGTGCATCCATGACATCGTCCCCACAGTGACTGTACGTACATACCCCAACCAGAAGACATGGATTACAGGCAACATCCGCACTGAGCTAAAGTGTAGAGCTGCCGCTTTCAAGGAGCGGGACTCTAACCCAGAAGCTTATAAGAAATCCTGCCATGCCCTCCGACGAACCATCAAACAGGCAAAGCATCAATAGAGGACTAAGATCGAATCGTACTACACCGGCTCTGATGCTCGTCGGATGTGGCAGGGCTTGCAAACTATTACAGACTACATAGGGAAGCACAGCCGCGAGCTGCCCAGTGACACGAGCCTACCAGACTAGCAAAATTACTTCTATGCTCGCGTCGAGGCAAGTAACACTGAAGCATGCATGAGAGCACCAGCTGTTCCGGACGACTGTGAGATCACGCTCTCCGTAGCAGATGTGAGTAAGACCTTTAAACAGGTCAACATTCACAAGGCCGCAGGGCCAGACGGATTACCAGGACGTGTACTCAGGTCTGTAGCCATGAAGTGCTTTGAAAGGCTGGTCATGGCTCACATCAACACCACTATCCCAGAAACCCTAGACCCACTCCAATTTGCATACCGCCCCAACAGATCCACAGATGATGCAATCTCTATTGCGCTCCACACTGCCCTTTCACACCTGGACAAAAGGAACACCTATGTGAGAATGTCCCCCCTCCCCCCTTCTACGCTGCTGCTACTCTGTTTATTATTTACGCATAGTCACTTTAATAACTCTACCTACATGTACATATTATCTCGACTAACCGGTGCCCCCTCACATTGACTCGGTACCGGTACCCCCTGTATAGAGCCTCACTACTGTTATTTTACTGCTGCTCTTTAATTATTTGTAACTTTTATTTTGTATTATATTTTTTGGTATTCTTTCTTAAAACTGCACTGTTGGTTAAGGGCTTGTAAGTAAGCATTTCACTGTAAGGTCTGTTGTATTCGGCGCATGTGACAAAAAATTTTTTGATTTGATTGCTTACTGTCACTGGAGACTCCATGCAGTCGCCCGCGGTTACAGTGTTTTCCCTAAGATTTTAACCAAAGATTTTAAAGGCCCTTCTCTTGGCCGCAGAGACAAAATGTTGCCATTTCAAAGCGAATTTCCTGCAATTCTACACATTTCGCCATGGCTTATGCAATGTTCTTATGCTATCCGAGTGACTCAAACATTATAACAGAATCAAGGGGGGCCCCATGCCAAGACATTTTAGATTCTGACTGTCTAGTTTTTATTGGTGATTGTTAGTTATCAAAGATGAACTTACTTAAAAATATATAGCTCCTTTATCTTTTCATACTTTTTATCTGGTTTTACAAGCTGACCAGACTGCTCTCGTTGCGTGCGCTGCAAAATAAATGTACACATACATGTTAGTCAATCATTTAATCCAAACTGCTTGCATGTGTCAACAGGCATCTGCATAGCCAGGCACTAAAATAGAACTTGGTTAGAACTTAGAACTTGGTTCCATTTTAGACGCTTGACTTGCCTCTCTACTAATTGGTTTTTACGAGCATATACCATCGCGGGTGATTGAAAGATGAACGAGGTCCACACTACAGTCCAGTTGGTGGCGGTAATGCACCTTAAGGTTGGTTGCCAACCGCCATATAAAAAAATCCACAGAAGAAGAATGAACAAGGAGAGTATTGTAGAGTAAGTACAATGTTGTTGATCCATCCTCAGTTCTCTCCTATCACAGCCATTAAACTCTGTAACTGTTTTAAAGTCACCATTGGCCTTAAGGTGAAATCCTTGAGCGGTTTCCTTCCTCTCCGGCAACTGAGTTAGGTAGGACGCCTGTATCTTTGTAGTGACTGGGTGTATTGATACACCATCCAAAGCGTAATTAATATCTTCACCATGCTCAAAGGGATATTCAATGTCTGTTTTTTTGTTTGTTTTTACATATCTACCAATAGGTGCCCTTCGTTGCGAGGCATTGGAAAACCTACCTGATCTTTGTAGTTCAATCTGTGTTTGAAATTCACTGCTCGACTGAGGGACCTTACAGATAACTATGTTTGGGGTACAGAGATGAGGTAGTCATTCAGAAATCATGTTAAACACTATTATTGCACACTGAGTGAGTCCATGCAACTTATTTTGTGACTTGTTAAGCACATTTTTACTCCTGAACATATTTAGGCTTGCCATAACAAAGGCTTGCCATAACAAATATTTAGGATTTCCACTTTGACATTATGGAGTATTGTGTGTAGGCCAGAGACAAAATCTAAATTTCAACCATTTTATATTCAGAATGTAACAACAAAAATGTGGAAAAAGTCAAGGGGTGTGAATACTTTCTGAAGGCACTGTAGATTAGGGCTGTACCCGACAAAAAAAAATCTTGGTCGACCGAGAGTCGTCCTGTTCTTTCAACCAATCAATTGATCCACATTAAATAATTTTTCCATATACAGTGCATTCGGAAAGTATTCAGACCCCTTGACTTTTTCCACATTTGTTACGTTATAGCCGTATTCTAGAATTGATTAAATATATATTTTTCATCAATCTACACACAATACCCCATAATGACAAAGAGAAAACAGATTTTTAGAATTTGTTTGCAAATTTATTAAAAATAAAATACAGAAATACCTTAATTACATAAGTATTCAGACCCTTTCCTACGAGACTCAAAATTGAACTCCGGTGCATCCTGTTTCCATTTATCATCCTTGAGATGTTTCTACAACTTGGAGTACACCTGTGGTAACTTCAATTGATTGGACATGATTTGGAAAGGCACACACCTTTCTATATACGGTCCCACAGTTGACAGTGCATGTCAGAGCAAAAACCAAGCCATGAGGTCAAAGGAATTGTCCGTAGAGCTCTGAGACAGGATTGTGTCGAGGCACAGATCTAGGGAAGGGTACCAAAAAATGTCTGCCACATTGAAGGTCCCCAAGAACAGTTTGGAACCACCAAAACTCATCCTAGAGCTGGCCGCCTGGCCAAACTCCGGGAGAAGGGCCCTGGTCAGGGAGGTGACCAAGAACCCGATGGTCACACTGAAAGACCTCCAGAGTTCCTCTGTAGAAATGGGAGAACTTTCCAGAAAGACAACCATCTCTGCAGCACTCCACCAATCAGGCCTTTATGGTAGAGTGGCCAGACAGAAGCCACTCCTCAGTAAAACGACAGCCTGCTTGGAGTTTGCCAAAAGGCACCTAAAGGACTGACTTTGAGAAACAAGATTCTCTGGTCTGATGAAACCAAGATTGAACTCTTTGGCCTGAATGCCAAGCATCATGTTTGGAGGAAACCTGGCACCATCCCTACGATGAAGCATGGTGGTGGCAGCGTCATACTGTGGGGATGTTTTTCAGCGGCAGGGACTGGGAGCCTAGTCAGCATCGAGGGAAAGATGATCGGAACAAAGTACAGAGAAATCCTTGATGAAAACCTGCTCCAGAGCGCTCAAGACCTCAGACTAGGGTGAAGGTTCACCTTCCAACAGGACAATGACCCTAAGCACACAGCCAAGACAATGCAGGAGTGGCTTCGGGACAAGACTCAATGTCCTTGAGTGGCCCAGCCACAGCCCGGACTTGAACCCGATCGAACATCTCTAAAGAGACCTGAAAATAGCTTGAGAGGATCTGCAGAGAAGAAATGGTAAAAACTCCCCAAATACAGGTGTGCCAAGCTTGTAGCGTCATACAAGAAGACTCGAGGTTGTAATTGCTGCCAATGGTGCTTCAACAAAGTACTGAGTAAAGGGTCTAAATACTTATGTAAATGTGATATTTCAGTAAAAAAATTCTACATTTGCAAAACTGTTTTTGCTTTGTCATTATGGGGTATTGTGTGTTGATTGATGAGGGGGGGAAACAATTGCACTGACCGCGGACAGCAACCGTAGGGGAAAACACATGTTATCAAATAATATTCGATTTATTAGTGTTGCACCATTATTTTTTACATAATATAAACATATACAATTTCAGTATCACGTCTTACATAGAGTGATGGACTGTGCCGTCCCCATGGCCTCCGCAATGGATTAGTCCACTGAGACAGGAGCCAAATCAGACAGGCGTCTTGTGCACCATAAACATTTTTTAGAAAATGCGACTGCTCTACTAAATAAATCTCGGTCGACCAACAGCCTATCGACCAAACAATCGACCAGTCTACTAAATGGGGTCAGCCCTACTGTAGAAACACAGAGATAGACGCCATATAGACAGACATGCATATCTATTTAATAAAAGCAAACTAAGGGCCGTCTGTCTATGTAGTTGAACTACACTGAGTGTACAAAACATTAAGAACACCTGCTCTTTCCATGACATAGACTGACCAGGTGAATGCTATGATCCCTTATTGATCACTTGTTAAATCCACTTCAAAATCAGTGCAGATGAAGGGGAGGAGACAGGTTAACAAAGGATTTGTAAGCCTTGAGACATGGATTGTGTATGTGTGCCATTCAGAGGGTGAATGGGGAAGACAAAACATTTAAGTGCCTTTGAACGGGGTATGGCAGTAGGTGCCAGGCGCACCGGTTTGTGTCAAGAACTGCAACGCTGCTGGGTTGTTCACGCTCAACAGTTTCCCCTGTGTATAAAGAATGGTCCAACACCCAAACGTTGATTTGATTTGACAGGACATCCAGTCAACTTGACACAACTGTGGGAAGCATTGAAGTCAACATAGGTCAGCATCCCTGTGGAATGCTTGACACCTTGTAGAGGCTGTTCTGAGGGCAAAAGGGGGGGTGCTACTCAATATTAGAAAGGTGTTCCTAATGTTTTGTCCACTCAGTGTATGTGTAGCCATATGTTGTACTGTAGAGTAATATGAAGGTGTCACTGAAGGAACGACAACGTAGAGAACGTCCTAGGAGGATCATGTAGAGAACGTCCTAGGAGGATAATGTAGAGAACGTCCTAGGAGGATAATGTATAGGTGGCAGGTAGCTTAGTGGTTAAGAGCGTTGTGCCAGTAACCGAAAGGTTGCTGGTTCTAATCCCCGAGCCGACTAGGTGAAAAATCTGTCGATGTGCCCTTGAGCAAGGCACTTAACCCTAATTGCTCCTGTAAGTCGCTCTGGATAAGAGCGTCTGCTAAATGACTAAAATGTAAAATGTATAGGCTGTGTACACAAGCCTCACCCAAATCTATAGCATCAGTCCAAATTCAATTCACTGCACAGAAACAGACTGATAATAACTGGAACTGTAAAATATGTTCCAGACAGTCCTTTTTATATGGGCTCATCATTCCACGTTACAAGTATCCCTGAAAGTTTCAAAGGCATCCTACAGCACTACCTTTGCTGTGTATTGTACAACAGGCATGTGTTGTTGAGGCAGTTTACCATGGGGGGTATTCCACCCAAAAAGCTGTCTAAATGGACGGTCTATAAACCCATTAGTGAAATTAGATCAGAGGAGAGAGTCTCAGACGGGGAGAGGAAAAACCCAGATATCAGAGAGAGTGAGAGGCAGGAAGAGATGCAACAACTTCCTGTTTGACCTCTACTGAAGGTTTCTGGGATTGCGGTCACAGAGGTTTGATTTGGATTTAACAGTAAAAAACACAGTATAAAGCTGCACCAGTTAGAGAAAACATTACAGTAAAACACTCATATTGAGGATAGAATAAAGCCAAAAAAAAGGACGTCTAATACTCCTGAGTGCAATTTAGAGGCTCTACAAACAACGCTTCGAACGTGTATTGTGGTTTTCCTTTCATAAACATTCTTCCTCTGTGCCCATAGCACAGTAGGCAGACGGAGAACAGCTTCAACGTTACAGTACCCCCGAGACAGCTGGATAATTGACTTCACAAAGCAGCAAAACAACTAAGATCCTCTCAACAACAAAAGTAAAACCGCCCAAACCTTAGGAGGGGTCTTTACAGTACATCAATATCCCATTCTCAACCACCTTCAGGAAACACTCAGCGCCAAGTAAGAAGAAAGAATGATCTCTCGTTAGTATTTTCCCAATGTGTGTTTCTTCTAACCATCCACCCTCCAAACCGAGCAGAGGACCACTTTCTCCTTGGCCAGGCCCACTCTCCTGGCCGCCTGCCCAGCCGCCTTCCTGGGTGAGATCTCATTTCCGCTCTGCTAACATCACTGGAAGAAGAAAAACGGCCCGAGCTCCATGGTAGAGAATAAGCTTTCTCTGCGTCCGTGCAAACATGTGCCTCAGTCAGTCTGTGTTACATACATGCGCGTCAGAAGCGTCGCCTCAGTCAGCCTGTGTTACATACAGTGGGGAGAACAAGTATTTGATACACTGACGATTTTGCAGGTTTTCCTACTTACAAAGCATGTAGAGGTCTGTAATTTTTATCATAGGTACACTTCAACTGTGAGAGACAGAATCTAAAACAAAAATCCAGAAAATCACATTGTATGATTTAAGTAATTAATTTGCATTTTATTGCATGACATAAGTATTTGATCACCTACCAACCAGTAAGAATTCCGGCTCTCACAGACCTGTTAGTTTTTCTTTAAGAAGCCCTCCTATTCTCCACTCATTACCTGTATTAACTGCACCTGTTTGAACTCATTACCTGTATAAAAGACACCTGTCCACACACTCAATCAAACAGACTCCAACCTCTCCACAATGGCCAAGACCAGAGAGCTGTGTAAGGACATCAGGGATAAAATTGTCGACCTGCACAAGGCTGGGATGGGCTACAGGACAATAGGCAAGCAGCTTGGTGAGAAGGCAACAACTGTTGGCGCAATTATTAGAAAATGGAAGAAGTTCAAGATGACGGTCAATCACCCTCGGTCTGGGGCTCCATGCAAGATCTCACCTCGTGGGGCATCAATGATCATGAGGAAGGTGAGGGATCAGCCCAGAACTACACGGCAGGACCTGGTCAATGACCTGAAGAGAAATGGGACCACAGTCTCAAAGAAAACCATTAGTAACACACTACGCCGTCATGGATTAAAATCCTGCAGCGCACGCAAGGTCCCCCTGCTCAAGCCAGCGCATGTCCAGGCCCGTCTGAAGTTTGCCAATGACCATCTGGATGATCCAGAGGAGGAATGGGAGAAGGTCATGTGGTCTGATGAGACAAAAATTGAGCTTTTTGGTCTAAACTCCACTCGCCGTGTTTGGAGGAAGAAGAAGGATGAGTACAACCCCTAGAACACCATCCCAACCGTGAAGCATGGAGGTGGAAACATCATTCTTTGGGGATGCTTTTCTGCAAAGTGGACAGGACGACTGCACCGTATTGAGGGGAGGATGGATGGGGCCATGTATCGCGAGATCTTGGCCAACAACCTCCTTCCCTCAGTAAGAGCATTGAAGATGGGTCGTGGCTGGGTCTTCCAGCATGACAACGACCCGAAACACACAGCCAGGGCAACTAAGGAGTGGCTCCGTAAGAAGCATCTCAAGGTCCTGGAGTGGCCTAGCCAGTCTCCAGACCTGAACCCAATAGAAAATCTTTGGAGGGAGCTGAAAGTCCATATTGCCCAGCGACAGCCCCGAAACCTGAAGGATCTGGAGAAGGTCTGTATGGAGGAGTGGGCCAAAATCCCTGCTGCAGTGTGTGCAAACCTGGTCAAGACCTACAGGAAACGTATGATCTCTGTAATTGCAAACAAAGGTTTCTGTACCAAATATAAAGTTCTGCTTTTCTGATGTATCAAATACTTATGTCATGCAATAAAATGCAAATTAATTACTTAAAAATCATACGTGATTTTCTGGATTTTTGTTTTAGCCTCTCACAGTTGAAGTGTACCTATGATAAAAATGACAGACCTCTACATGCTTTGTAAGTAGGAAAACCTGCAAAATCGGCAGTGTATCAAATACTTGTTCTCCCCACTGTACATGCGCGTCAGAAGCGTTGCCTCAGTCAGCCTGTGTTACATACATGCGCATCAGAAGCGTTGCCTCAGTCAGTCTGTGTTACATACATATGCGGCCCAAGTCTTAACCAGCCCAGTACCCACTCCTCTCACTGTGATCAATCAATGTGGGTACATCTATGAGAGCATCTCAGTCCAGCTCAAGTCCACAGGGCTTTGTTAGACACACACACACACAGACACAGGAAGGGCTTACTTACCAAGTCCAGTATTTTTAGATCCTATTGATCAGATCAGGCCAGATTTAGGTGGAGGATAGCACTTGAGTGTGAGTGGCTGGCTGGAGTTTCCTGTTTGGCTTGAGTGTAGAATGGCTGGGCTGGCTTAGATAGAACACACTCTAAAAGTGCTGATTGATTGATTGTAGCACAGGGATAGGAAACCAACTGAGCCATGGGAAGCTGCCATTGGGAACAACAACCACCAGTGACACCCACCTGCCCAGAGCCTGCACCTTGGCTGTGTGTCTCTCCTCCAGCTCATCCAGGCGTCTCCTCAGGGCGTCCGTCTCCTGCCTCAGCCCAGCAGAGTGCTCCATCTCCCCATCCAGCAGGCTGCGCAGGGACCTGGAGCCCCGGAAGAAACAACACAATACTGTTACCATACCGTCACAAAACAGAACACTGGCATACACAGACAGTCTGCTCACAACACACAGTCTCAGAAAACTCACATACAGTATATACACATAGCTCTAAATTCCACTCGATTTTTCACAACATGTCAAAGATCAACTCATCCCATCAACATTAGGAGAGGGGAACTCACGTGTTGTGTTCATCCAGCTCATCCTTCCTGTTCATCATGGCTACTATGGCCTGGCGGAGCTCCACTGTGGACGAGAGACCGTTAACACAGACGTCAAAAACTCATCTGGAAAAGTGGTTATTGTTCACATTACTTTTACTAAGCTCATACTGAAATCTCATCACTACCAGTACTGTGCCACTGAGCTGACTGACACAGGAAATACTAAACTAGTTTCATACTGTACAGCGGCTGCCTACAACCGGCACTTTTACTGAAACGTTGATTAATGTGCACGGTCCCTGTAAAAATAAACTCAATTTGGGTTTACAGGGAAGGGATAAAACAGTTATTGACATGATTTAAATTTAAATGTGTTATTTTCCCCTCTGATTTGAGCCCAAACAAAATGCTCCATTTCCCTACACTGAACAACTACATTCAGTCATCAGCACAGATCACTCCCGTGATGTCGGAGTTTTTAGATAAACTGAAAGCTAACTTTGCAACGAGATTTGATGAGTTTAAGTCCCCACAGAGGTGGTGCAGTTTATTATAGAGACCCGTTCTCTACTGATGGGGGGGGGGGGGGAGAGAGACTTCTCCGCAAAAGCTAATCAACTGAGATATGCCATGCATAAAAGGTTTCCCATGTGTAAATAAAAACAAAAAGATGAAGCTATGTCTGTAAAACAGACAGGAAAGTAGAAATTAATTAATGTGATGCAAGTCAACTGTGTTATAAATCCAAATGTGTTCCATTATTTAAACAATTTTATGCACTGAATTAGGCTAATCTTAAAGCACTTAAAATGAAATTTTAGCAACATTTAATTTGAATAAAAGTGCTTTATAAAGATCATAATTGTGTTTGTGCATTATTTTTTATACCGTCTTAGGAAGAGTAATCCCATGTAGAAAATGTCTGGCCCCCCTGTAAATAACCTTTTTCAAATCTGGCCCCCGTAAGAATATAGTTCAATAGCCCTGACATAGCGCATGGGACCAGCCAGGCTACTAAAATACCACCTCTGCCCAGATACATACACACTTCTTCACCATACAGTCACAGCACAGCTCTGTATTAACATGACGGATATAGGCTAATACATAGCACTGCACTGAGAGAAGTAGGTCTATGGAAAAAGTGGTAAGTGCCAAGGCCTTATGAATATCAAAGTATTTACAAAATTAAGAGCATATTCAGCTGTTGACATCAACAGCCACGAAGCTTAGAAGTGGAGCGTGTTTTGGCCCCGGACGCATTTCAAAAGGTAGGTCTACAACCCAAAGCCTCGGCCAAGTGGCTGGTTGAGGAGGTGAAGAAGAGGAGGAGGATGAAGAGGAAAGCACAGAACCATTATTTCTGGAGCTCCCAACTCCACATCACTGATCCAGAAATAAGTGTGACATTTACGACAAAGCGGCGATCCATTAACGAGCTATATAGAGAGGTACCCCTCTGTTGAACTACATGCGTGTGTGTGTGTGTGTGTGTGTGTGTGTGTGTGTGTCAGACACTAACATAATGGTGGGCCTTGGCTTATGTTCTTTATCTATACACACACGAGCACACACACACACACACACGAGCACACAGCTCTCCTCTTTTGAGAGCTGCTAATCTTGTGAGTGTTCAACTATAGACGTGACTGTGGGTCTTCCACAGTGCTTAAAGGCAGACCGCCACAATCAGATCCCCAGCCCTGACGCACTGACTCACATTACAGGCTTGGTGAGGTCCACACACAGGAAACATTTAGAATCAATATGAGCATCAGCGGCGCTAACCTGTGCTAAGCTTTAGAGAATTACACAAATCACGTCCTAGAGTCGAAAACACAGACAGCGTGTAAACGGTTGACTGGATCAGGGCATTTTATATTCCAGGAAGTTTTGAAAGACAATAGAGCGGAAGAAATGTGGATGACTGGTGTGTGTTGTATACAGAAATGAGATCTATCGAAGAAGACATGCTTTTCTGAGGGTACCGTTCTGTTTCAGTCATATAAACTGGAGGCTACCGTTTGAGTACACACAGGGCACACCAATACTGAATTAACAGTGCCATCTCCTGGTTGAATAAATATATTCTCCTCATACTGGATTCCCTTCTTATTACCAGTATACCACACACACTCACCCACTGTCATGGACTCTGGTAGAACGGGGGTGGCACTGGGCAGGACACTAGAGAGAGGTGCATTCTGGACCGGTGGGCTGACCTCTAAGCTGCAACACCACAGAGAGAGAGAGAGATGTTACGTACATATCTCCATCCAATAAAGACTATCGAAGCGAGTGTGGTTTTTCTCCCTCCCTTGTTAAGATAATGTTCATATAAAATGGACTGACAACTCACTTGAACTGCAGCTGGGATCTGGTCGTCTCGTAGTCACCTGTGGAATCTGTCTGTACAGGAAATGCAGCTGTATCCTCCACTGAGCCAACTGAAACAAAATTAAAGTGAAAACAATGCTGAGGGATTTTTGTCTAGTTTTTTGTCTAGTTTAATAATATGCTTCCCATATTCTACAGAAGTTTAGTAAATGTACATCTCCGTTTTCTCATGAGCTTCACCTCTAAGCAACGTCGCCCTCTATTCTCTTAACACCAGTCTCCAAAAATGAACACTATGAACCAACACGCTATAACCACACTTCTGTGGTTGTGTAAGAAATGACTGGTGAGCCCAGAGGACTGGGTTGAGAAACACTGCTGCAGAGGAGAGGAACCTGGCTCACCTGGCTGAGAGTAGGAGTGGCTGGAGGCCACAGGGATGAGGGCGTCTGAACTGTCATTATCAGTCATGCCCTGCAGAGGGCTCCACGTGGACACACTGGATAGGCTCCCCACCACCACTCTGTACACACACACACACACACACACAAAAACATCACCTGTTTGTATCAATCCTTGTTTAGGAGTTTCCCACCATGCTTACTGTATAGTTAAGAAAGTGCTAGATTATGTGTAATCATTAGTCTCCATGGTTACTCACTGGTCAGCGCTGGCCCTGTCATGGAGGGGGCTCTGTAGCTGTGGTCTGCTCTTGTACACCTCTTCCTCATCATTACCAATAATCTTGGAGTCTGGCAGAGCTCTGGAGAAAGGAGGAGGCCCGGCCCAGCTGACTATCCCAGGCTCGGGCAGCCCGTTCTGGGGAGGTGAGAGGGAGGAGGAGGGCTCCAGTGGATCAATGCCTTCCTCCAGACTGACCTGAGGAGCAGTGGTGCTCTTCCTGAGAGTGGCAGTCCTCCCCCCCACCTCCTCCTCATCCTCCGCTCCCCCATCCAGGTCGTCGTCGAAAGAGATGATGTTGGTGATTCTCTTTTTCCTCCGTCGCTCCTTCCTCAGGCCAGAGTCTGGAGAAGAGAGAGAAAACGTAGTCCATTTAATCTCCATGTTTGTTGGCTTATTATGAATTCTTAGTAAGAATATGAATAGAAATAACTGGTAAAATCCCCTGTCCCCCTCTGTCTAAATTGATTGTAATTTCTCCTCCCTACCTGCGGAGGCACTGCGGGGCAGGACAGGCAGTGGGTCTGAGGAGCTGTCGGGGCGGTGTGTGGGGGTGAAGCCTGGCACCACAGCGGTGGCGGTGCTGATCTCCCTAAGCAGAGTGCTCACCCCCTGGGTAGACTCCTTCCATAGACTCCCTATGCCCTGGGTGGACTCCTTCAGGAGGTGGCTCACGGAGGAGGAGGGGCCGCCTGCTCGGATCACACCGTTCAGGTCCTTGTTGTCGATGTTGATGGCAAACAGGATGGAGTTCAGTCCTGTGTGAAGGGTGGAGAGAGAGGGTCTAGTTAGTAGTCATTCACACAGCACAGCCTAGAACAGCACTAGGGGTAGTGGATAATGTTAAATGGTTCCTCTCAACTTACACTGAACAAAAATATAAACAAAAGATTTTACTGAGTTACAGTTCATATTAGGAAATAAGTCAACTGAAATAAATTCATTATGCCCTAATCTATGGATTCCACATGACTGGGAATACAAATATGCATCTGTTGATCACAGATCCCTTATTAAAAAAGGTAGGGGCGTGGATCAGAAAACCAGTTAGTATCTGGTGTGACCACCATTTGCCTCGTGCATCGCGACACATCTCCTTCGCATAGAGTTGATCAGGCTGTTGATTGTGGCCTGTGGAATGTTGTCCCACTCCTCTTCAACGGCTGTGCGACGTTGCTGCATATTGCCGGGAACTGGAACACGCTGTCGTACACGTCGATCCAGAGCATCCCAAACATGCTCAATGGGTGACATGTCTGGTGAGTATGCAGGCCATCTTCCAGGAATTGTGTACAGATCCTTGCGACATGGGGCCATGCATTATCATGCTGAAACATTAGGTGATGGCGGGCAGATGAATGGCACGACAATGGGCCTCAGGATCTCATCACGGTATCTCTGTGCATTAAAACTGCCATTGATAAAATGCAATTGTGTTTGTTGTTTGTAGCTTATGCATGCCCATAACCCACCGCCACCATGGGGCACTTTGTTCACAATGTTGACATCAGCTGTCCGGGTGGCTGGTTTCAGAAGATCCCGCAGGTGAAGAAGCCGGATGTGGAGGTCCTGGGTTGTGGGTTCGATTCCCACGGGGGGCTAAATGACTAAAATGTCAACAAATAAAATGGGCTGAAGTGGTTACACGTGGTCTGCAGTTGCGAGGCCGGATGGACGTACTGTCAAATTCTCTAAAACGACGTTGGAGTGGGCTTATGGTAGAGAAATTAGCAGCACACGGTGCACCTGTGTAATAATAATGCTGTTTAATCAGCTTCTTGATATGCCACACCTGTCAGGTGGATGGATTATCTTGGCAAAGGAGAAATAATCAGGGATGTAAACAAATTTGTGCACAACATTTTAGAGAAATAAGCTTTTTGTGCATATGGAAAATGTCTGGGATCTTTTATTTCAGCTCATGAAACATGGGACCAACACTTTACATGTTGTGTTTATATTTTTGTTCATTTAATACTGTGTATAGCTCCCTGAGAATTGGGAACACATCACACAGGGAATAAGTGACTGAACTGTGACTCGTGGCTTACTGTAAAGCAGCTCTCTGAACGGCAGAGATATGAATAAGTTTCACCACAAGAATCAGAGTCATGCTCTCACCTGCAGCCATGGTGGGCAGCATGCTGGCTCGCTCCTCATCCAGAATAAACGCCCAGTCTTCATAGAAGGTGCTAGAAAACACAAAGAAAAAAATATATACTGCCAGGAAGTTCCAGACTCCACACACTGACCTAAGATAAATACACAAACAGACACACACACTCTTACCCGGGGCGCATGCGGTCTGCGAGCAGCGTGTGTAGGTAGCGTTCTAGGGAGTGTTCGTTGAGGGCACAGCGGAGCCAGGCGCGGCCGCGACCCAGCTCAGAGGAGATGTGTCTCAGGGAGTAGAACCGCTGCAGCTCATGGCGGTTCAGATACTCCTTCACATAGAACCAGAACGTCAGCTCTGACAGAGAGAAAATGGGACAAACACCAAATTGAGACTCTGCATGCAGAATTCTGAAAAAATACCCTCCGTGTTCAACGTAAAACACCAAATAATGCATGCAGAGCAGAATTAAGCCGATACCCACTAATTATCAAAATCCAGAAAAGAGACGTTAAATTCTACAACCACCTAAAAGGAAGAGATTCCCAAATCTTCCATAACAAAGCCATCACCTACAGAGAGATGATTTTGGAGAAGAGTCCCTTAAGCAAGCTGGTCCTGGGGCTCTGTTCAAACAAACAGATCCCAGAGCCCCAGGATAGCAACACAATTAGACCCAACCAAATCATGAGAAAACAAAAATACAATTATTTCCAATGTGTCAAGTAATTAACAAAAAAAACAGAGCACACTGTTTGCTAAACAGAGCACAACTAGAATGCTATTTGGCCCTAAACAGAGAGTACGCAGTGGCAGAACACCTGACCACTGTGACTGACCCAAAATTAAGGAAATCTTTGACTACAGTGAGGGAACAAAAGTATTTGATCCCCTGCTGATTTTGTACGTTTGCCCACTGACAAAGACATGATCAGTCTATAATTTTAATGGTAGGTTTATTTGAACAGTGAGAGACAATAACAACAACAAAATCCAGAAAAACGCATGTCAAAAATGTTAGAAATAGATTTGCATTTTAATGAGGGAAATAAGTATTTGACCCCTCTGCAAAACATGTCTTAGTACTTGGTGGCAAAACCCTTGTTGGCAATCACAGAGGTCAGATGTTTCTTGTAGTTGGCCACCAGGTTTGCACACATCTCAGGAGGGATTTTGTCCCACTCCTCTTTGCAGATCTTCTCCAAGTCATTAAGGTTTCGAGGCTGACGTTTGGCAACTCGAACCTTCAGCTCCCTCGACAGATTTTCTATGGGATTACGGTCTGGAGACTGGCTAGGCCACTCCAGGACCTTAATGTGCTTCTTCTTGAGCCACTCCTTTGTTGCCTTGGCTGTGTGTTTTGGGTCATTGTCATGCTGGAATACCCATCCACGACCCATTTTCAATGCCCTGGCTGAGGGAAGGAGGTTCTCACCCAAGATTTGACGGTACATGGCCCTGTCCATCATCCCTTTGATGCAGTGAAGTTGTCCTGTCCCCTTAGCAGAAAAACACCCCCAAAGCATAATGTTTCCACCTCCATGTTTGACGGTGGGGATGGTGTTCTTGGGGTCATAGGCAGCAATCCTCCTCCTCCAAACACGGCGAGTTGAGGCCAAAGAGCTCCATTTTGGTCTCATCTGACAACACTTTCACCCAGTTCTTCTCTGAATCATTCAGATGTTCATTGGCAAACTTCAGACGGGCATGTATATGTGCTTTCTTGAGCAGGGGGACCTTGCGGGCGCTGCAGGATTTCAGTCCTTCACGGCGTAGTGTTTTACCAATTGTTTTCTTGGTGACTATGGTCCCAGCTGCCTTGAGATCATTGACAAGATCCTCCCATGTAGTTCTGGGCTGATTCCTCACCGTTCTCATGATCATTGCAACTCCATGAGGTGAGATCTTGCATGGAGCCCCAGGCCGAGGGAGATTGACAGTTATTTTGTGTTTCTTCCATTTGCGAATAATCGCACCAACTGTTGTCACCTTCTCACCAAGATGCTTGGCGATGGTCTTGTAGCCCATTCCAGCCTTGTGTAGGTCTACTATCTTGTCCCTGACATCCTTGGAGAGCTCTTTGGTCTTGGCCGTGGTGGAGAGTTTGGATTCTGATTGATTGATTGCTTCTGTGGACAGGTGTCTTTTATACAGGTAACAAACTGAGATTAGGAGCACTCCCTTTAAGAGTGTGCTCCTAATCTCAGCTCGTTACCTGTATAAATAAGACCCCTGGGAGCCAGAAATCTTTGATTGAGAGGGGGTCAAATACTTATTTCCCTCATTAAAATGAAAATCAATTTATAACATTTTTGACATGCGTTTTTCTGGATTTTTTTGTTGTTATTCTGTCTCACTGTTCAAATAAACCTACCATTAATATTATAGACTGATCATTTCTTTGTCAGTGGGCAAACGTACAAAATCAGCAGGGGATCAAATACTTTTTTCCCCTCACTGTATGTACAGACTCAGTGAGCATTGCTATTGAGAAAGGCCGCCGTAGGCAGACCTGGCTCTCAAGAGAAAACAGGCTATGTGCACACTGCCCACAAAATGAGGTGGAAACTGAGCTGCACTTCCTAACCTCCTGCCGTATGACCATATTAGAGACACATTTCCCTCATATTACACAGATCCACAAAGAATTCGAAAACAAACCCAATTTTGATAAACCCCCTTATCTACTGGGTGAAATACCACAGTGTGCCATCACAGCAGCAAGATGTGTGACCTGTTGCCACAAGAAAAGGGCAACCAGTGAAGAACAAACACCATTGTAAATACAACCCATATTTTTGTTTATTTATTTTCCCATTTGTACTTTCACATCATTATAACACTGTATATAAACATAATGACATTTGAAATGTCTATATTCTTTTGGAACTTCTGAGTACTATTAATATTTATTTCCCTTTTGTTTACTATCTACTTCACTTGCTTTGGCAATGTTAACATTCCCATGCCAATAAAGCCCTTAAATTGAAATTGAGAGAGAGATGCACCAAAAAGAAAGTGAATGTTCACTCACTGCTTGCTACTTCCAAGTGAGATCTAAATCCTCTAACACAGAAAGAATTTAAAATAATTTCTACAACATTAATTGCTTCTGATGGCCATGTCAAAGGTCAGAGATCAAAAGGTCAGAGAGCAGCCAATAGAATATAATCTATGCAGAGTTTTAAACAGTCCTATTCATCCCGAGTTCGTTTGGCATGGCCCGGTGCCCTGGGTGGGTGGAGATTTCACTTAAGGAACAATTAAATTGTCTAAAATGAGCAAACTCCGCCCACCCGGGGCACCGGGCCATATAAAACCAACTCAACCATTAGCTTTGTTTCACAGCTTCCTCATTTTCCTCAGCTTGTCATCAATACCTCAGCAACTCCCCAGAGGAGAGTCACCCAACACATCACCTACTCAACTAAGTTTTCAAGCGCTTGATAATTAGTGTGAATAACTGCTATGGAGGTCTCAGCTTTAGCATAGCATTACCATATGGCCTTAGAACAATGTGTTACAGATGTAAGATCTTAATTTGATCACAATCCTGCAATGCAGGACATTTAAAACTGGTAGTGTCTTTCTGGTTTAAAAAGGCTTCTGAAGGTTGCAATTTCCACTGAAATTTCAGACTTCATTTTCCCTTACGAAAAATGTATCAACCCCTACAAAAAATGTCCATTGATTATAATCCACATAATAATTCACATTTCCTGTTGCTGCAAGACTATTTATTTTCCTGCTGGAGCAAACTGGCTCAAATTATGATCATAAATGTGTAAACAACAGCCTATTTCAGTCTGTAGAACACTCATTATGTTAGCTGTGTCCCTGAGTTCTCGCTCTATCATCTATATGTTAACTGGTACATGAAGGGCTAAGGGAAATGCCCAATAATGTTTTTCTTTTTTTAAAGTATCATCTTTACATCATACTGCATCTATGAACTTGAAGTATTGTAATTTCACCGTCTTGGATAATAACTAGGGCTGTCAGAGTTAATCAGTTAATTCAAGCTAACTTTGTCATTTTAGTGCACTTTTTTTATCGTGATTAATCGCATTGTCTGAAAGCGTTCAAAATAATATGAAAACATCCCAAATACATAATCTATACAAGTTGACATTTAGCTTAAAGAAAGTGTGCTTTCTCAATTTACTTAACTTTGCTAAGCGTTACTTTAAGCCAAAATCAAGACGTCAATATTAATTACAGCTTAATTTGAGCAAATTCAGAATTTGCGATTAATCACAGCAAACCCTGTGATTAACTCGATGAAATGTTTAATCGTTAATAATAACAACAACATCTGGCCCACTGACAACTCTTTAAAAGGTGCACTAGGCAGTAATCACTCCATTTCCTGGTTGCTAAAATTCTAATTTCAGTTTGTGACAAAACAAGAAATTATACTGTAGAGAATCGTACCATCTAAACAGCTGTGAAATAAATATATTTTCCATAACCAAAAATATTGTATTTTCAGCTGATGTACAAAACCGAAAGTAAAAGATGCAAAAACTAAACTTAAGCGCGGGAAGCATAGAAATAGCGCACCTAGAACAGGTCTCCTGAGTGGCGCAGTGGTCTAAGGCACTGCATCGCAGTGCTAGCTGTGCCACTAGAGATCCTGGTTCGAATCCAGGCTCTGTCGTAGCCGGCCGTGACCGGGAGACCCATGGGGCGGCGCGCAATTGGCCCAGCGTCGTCCAGGGTAGGGGAGGGAATGGCCGGCAGGGATGTAGCTCAGTTGATAGAGCATGGCGTTTGCAACGCCAGGGTTGTGGGTTCGATTCCCACAGGGGGTATGAAAAAAAATAATAATAATGTAAGCCGCTCTGGATAAGAGCGTCTGCTAAATGACGTAAATGTAAATGTAACAGATCTACTGCTTCTTAGACTTGCTTTCAAATTAGAATGACAGATCTACAACTCACATTTCTATGTGAATTTGGTCGGATCGCCCAAAAAGTTACGTATTGCAGCTTAAAGAAAACGTGTTCAGTCAGCCAGGTATGAGCAAGAAGTCGAAGTAGAGCAGTATAGCTTACCTAAATACATAATCATTGTCTGTTGGAATTGTACCACTGATAATTTTAAGAAACCCCACAGGTGCTGGGCTTCCCTCAGAGCGAAAGAGAGAGCGGATTTCCCTTTCTTGACTAAATCTGTTGCATAACCCTCTGTTTTCATAGACAGTATCTGCACCTTGTTTCTCTAGCAGTCGTCCTACAGCCTCTGTTTCCTGCGTGGAGAGTAGACCCTTGTAACGGCCGTTCTCTCCTACTGAGGTGATTACAGTCTTCTCAGGTCTCCAGTTTCCCTGGATAATATTTGGTATGCTCCTTTTTTGTTTTCATAGCACCTTGAACTTTCCCCTTGTGTATTCTTTTAAGCATGGATTAAATTAAGTATTATTATTCCTTTTCATGGTTTGAGTGAGAGCATCTTTTGAACTCTACTAATATTAGGCTGTAGCCCTGAGCTGTTACTACCATGATGACTGCAGTGGTTCTTATAATCTGACTCAGTCATTTAGCTCTGGTCTGACCGAATATTATAGAAAAATATATAAAGATTAGTTGTTTTTTTTACACCAAATACAAACCTAATCTGACCTAATCTTAAATCAAATCAAATTTTATTTGCCACATGCGCCGAATACAACAGGTGTAGACATTACCGTGAAATGCTTACTTACAGCCTTTAACCTACAGTGCATTTATTTCTTAATAAAAAAGTAAAATAAAACAACAAAAAGTGTTAAGAAAAAAAGAGCAGAAGTAAAATAAGATAATAGGGAGGCTATATACAGGGGGGTACCGGTGCAGAGTCAATGTGCGGTGGCACGGGCTAGTTTAGGTAATATGTACATGTGGGTAGAGTTAAAGTGACTATGCATAAATAATTAACAGAGTAGCAGCAGCGTAAAAACATGGGGTGGGGTGGGGGGGGCAGTGCAAATAGTCCGGGTAGCCATGATTAGCTGCTCAGGAGTCTTATGGCTTGGGGGTAGAAGCTGTTGAGAAGCCTTTTGGACCTAGACTTGGCGCTCCGGTACCGCTTGCCGTGCGGTAGCAGAGAGAACAGTCTATGACTAGGGTGGCTGGAGTCTTTGACAATTTTGAGGGCCTTCCTGACACCGCCTGGTATAGAGATCCTGGATGGCAGGAAGCTTGGCCCCAGTGATGTACTGGGCTGTACGCACTACCCTCTGTAGCGCCTTGCGGTCGGAGGCCGAGCAGCTGCCATACCAGGCGGTGATGCAACCAGTCAGGATGCTCTCGATGGTACAGCTGTAGAACCTTTTGAGGATCTGAGGACCCATGCCAAATCTTTTCAGTCTCCTTAGGGGGAATAGGCTTTGTCGTGCCCTCTTCACGACTGTCTTGGTGTGTTTGGACCATGATAGCTCGTTGGTGATGTGGACACCAAGGAACTTAAAGCTCTCAACCTGTCCACTACAGCCCCGTTGATGAGAATGGGGGCGTGCTCAGTCCTCTTTTTCCTGTAGTCCACAATCATCTCCTTTGTCTTGGTCACGTTGAGGGAGGTTGTTATCCTGGCACCACACAGCCAGGTCTCTGACCTCCTCCCTATAGGCTGTCTCATCGTTGTCTGTGATCAGGCCTACCCCTGTTGTGTCGTCGGCAAACTTGATGGTGATGTAGTCGTGCCTGGCCATGCAGTCATGGGTGAACAGGGAGTACAGCAGGGGACTCAGCACGCACCCCTGAGGGGCCCCCGTGTTGAGGATCAGCGTGGCAGATGTGTTGTTACCTACCCTTACCACCTGGGGGCGGCCCGTCAGGAAGTCCAGGATCCAGTTGCAGAGGGAGGTGTTTAGTCCCAGGATCCTTAGCTTAGTGATGAGCTTTGAGGGCACTATGGTGTTGAACGCTGAGCTGTAGTCAATGAATAGCATTCTCACGTAGGTGTTCCTCTTGTCCAGGTGGGAAAGGGCAGTGTGGAGTGCAATAGCGATTATATCATCTGTGGATCTGTTGGGGCGGTATGCAAATTGGAGTGGGTCTAGGGTTTCTGGGATAACGGTGTTGATGTGAGCCATAACCAGCCTTTCAAAGCACTTCATGGCTACAGGTCGGTAGTCATTTAGGCAGGTTATCTTAGTGTCCTTGGGCACGGGGACTATGGTGGTCTGCTTGAAACATGTTGGTATTACAGACTCTGTCAGGGATATGTTGAAAATGTTGTTGAAGACACTTGCCAGTTGGTCAGCACATGATCGGAGTACACGTCCTGGTAATCCGTCTGACCCTGCGGCCTTGTGAATGTTGACCTGCTTAAAAGTCTTACTCACATCGGCTACGGAGAGCGTGATCACATAGTCATCCGGAACAGCTGGTGCTCTCATGCATGCTTCAGTGTTGCTTGCCTCGAAGCGAGCATAGAAGTGGTTTAGCTCATCTGGTAGGCTTGTGTCACTGGGAAGCTCGCGGCTGTGCTTCCCTTTGTAGTCTGTAATAGTTTTCAAGCCCTGCCACATCCGACAAGCATCAGAGCCGGTGTAGTACGATTCAATCTTAGTCCTGTATTGACTCTTTGCCTGTTTGATGGTTCGTCGGAGGGCATAGTGGGATTTCTTATAAGCGTCCGGGTTAGAGTCCCGCTCCTTGAAAGCGGCAGCTCTACCCTTTAGCTCAGTGCGGATGTTGCCTGTAATCCATGGCTTCTGGTTGGGGTACGTACGGTCACTGTGGGGACGACGTCATCGATGCACTTATTGATGAAGCCAGTGACTGATGTGGTGTACTCCTCAATGCTATCTGAAGAATCCCGGAACATGTTCCAGTCTGTGCTAGCAAAACAGTCCTGTAGCTTAGCATCTGCGTCATCTAACCACTTTTTTATTAACCGAGTCACTGGTGCTTCCTGCTTTAGTTTTTGCTTATAAGCAGGAATCAGGGGCCCTGAAGGTGTTTAGCTACCACTGCAGATAAAGATTACCAGTACTTCCTGGAAAAGGTTTTTGGGACATCATATCACTGACTAATCTGTTTCCAAGTTATGTGACTGTACCTGCTTCAGTCTTTCTGGTGAAGCCTGCGGCCTGCTTGATGGCAGCAGCAGTGAGGGCCAGTCCTCTACTCTTCCTCAGGCCATGCTGGAGGACAGCCTCAAACTGGGCACACAAACAGATCACCCTAAAGGGGAGACACAAGCATTACAATACATCACACACACACAAAACATCAGTAAATCCTATCAGTTTTGGAATAATAAAGCACATTGGTACCTGCTGTCGGAATCTGAGGCGATCTCCTTTCTTCCTCCAAAGCGAATTTGGCACTGAAGAGACATGAAGAATGAGGATGACATGGCTATCAAAATAACTATGACAAAACACATTTACTTCCTCAATGGGAGCCTGCCAGCTAGAGACCACAACATCAAACCAGCTAGAGAAACAAAACAATGGGCACAGTATCATGCCTTAAACAGTACAAAGTATAGAATTACACTATTTTTGACAATGTAATAGCACATCATTACGCCAGTTTATGACTATATGACTCATTTCACCATAGCCGTAACGCACTCCTCTTCAGTGGCCTGTCATGTACAGGGAGGCTAACATAACCTGGCCTGTCACGTACAGTCGTGGTCAAAAGTTTTGAGAATGACACAAGTATTGGTCTTCAAAGTTTGCTGCTTCAGTGTTTAGATATTTTTGTCAGATGTTACTATGGTATACTGAAGTATAATTACAAGCATTCCATAAGTGTCAATGTAATTGTCAATAAGCGCCTTTAAGTTTATGCAAAGAGTCAATATTTGCAGTGTTGACCCTTCTTTTTCAAGACCTCTGCAATCTGCCCTGGCATGCTGTCAATTAACTGCTGGGCCACATCCTGACTGACGGCAGCCCATTCTTGCATAATCAATGCTTGGAGTTTGTCAGAATTTGTGGGTTTTTGTTTGACCACCCGCCTCTTGAGGATTGACCACACGTTCTCAATGGGATTAAGGTCAGGGAGTTTCCTGGCCATGGACCCAAAAAGTGCTCCATCATGCTGGAAAAGACATTGTTCGTCACCAAACTGTTCTTGGATGGTTGGGAGAAGTTGCTCTCTGAGGATGTGTTGGTACCATTCTTTATTCATGGCTGTGTTCTTAGGCAAAATTGTGAGTGAGCCCACTCCCTTGGCTGAGAAGCAACCCCACACATGAATGTCTCAGAATGCTTTACTGTTGGCATGACACAGGACTGATGGTAGCGCTCACCTTGTCTTCTCCAGACAAGCTTTTTTCCGGATGCCCCAAACAATCGGAAAGGGGATTCAGAGAAAATTACTTTACCCCAGTCCTCAGCAGTCCAATCCCTGTACCTTTTGCAGAATATCAGTCTGTCCCTGATGTTTTTCCTGGAGAGAAGTGGCTTCCTCACTGCCCTTCTTGACACCAGGCCATCCTCCAAAAGTATTTGCCTCACTGTGCGTGCAGATGCACTCACACCTGCCTGCTGCCATTCCTGAGCAAGCTCTGCACTGGTGGTGCCCCGATCCCACAGCTGAATCAACTTTAGGAGACAGTCCTGGCGCTTGCTGGACTTTCTTGGGCGCCTTGAAGCCTTCTTCACAACAATTGAACCTCTCTCCTTGAAGTTCTTGATGATCCGATAAATGGTTGATTTAGGTGCAATCTTACTAGCAGCAATATCCTTGCCTGTGAAGGCCTTTTTGTGCAAAGCAATGACGGCACGTGTTTCCTTGCAGGTAACCATGGTTAACAGAGGAAGAACAATGATTTCAAGCACCACCCTCCTTTTAAAGCTTCCAGTCTGTTATTCTAACTCAATCAGCATGACAGAGTGATCTCCAGCCTTGTCCTCGTCAACACTCTCACCGGTGTTAATGAGAGAATCACTGACATGATGTCAGCTGGTCCTTTTGTGGAAGGGCTGAAATGCAGTGGAAATGTTTTGGGGGGATTAAGTTAATTTTCATTGCAAAGAGGGACTTTGCAATTAATTGCAATTCATCTGATCACTCTTCATAACATTCTGGAGTTTATGCAAATTGCCATCATAAAAACTGAGGCAGCAGACTTTGTGAAAATGTATATTTGTGTCATTCTCAAAGCTTTTGACCACGACTGTACAGGGAGGCTAACATTACCTGGCCTGTCATGTACAGGAAGGCTAACATAACCTGGAAGTAATGGGATGTGTGGGATAATGAGCAGTAGTTCCGATGTTTGGGGTTTTTCCATCACTGGTTATTTGGACAAATCATGAATTTCGCAGGTGTTAGCATCTTTAAAATATCGGAAGGGGAGGGGACATTCGGCCCGTAACTTGCAAAGAGAGAGGGTGGCGCTCCTCGTTCCGGGTTCCACTCCTACTTAAATCTCTTCTCTTAACATGTATGGCCCCAGAACTTAATCGAGCAGCTGACCAATTACGAGAGACAGTTCTGGGTTAACCGAGAATACCCCTCACCTGTTTGACAGAGTCCAGCAGCCTCTCCAGCAGGTGTTGTCTCTTTACGTCATTCTGCTGAGGGCCTAAAGAGGAGGAGAAGGAGGACGATCATACAAACATGACTGTCAGTTTGGGAAACTCATCTTAGATTTCTGGCCTAAGAGCGACTGGCCTGCATAATGGAGAAGTAATCTCTGGCTAAATCACAGAGCTGTACCACAATTTCACCAAGCTTATCAAAAATGTATACAGTGATGTGTCCTCAAAGAAAAATATGATTTGGTCAAACATCTTTAGTCTCCAATATGAAAGTGACATTACAACAACACATATTGGCGCTACTGTAATAACAAGAAAAGGTTGTTGCAATAAGTATCTACCAACTAATACATGCAGGTTGCTAAGAAGGCACTACCTTGGATAGCGGACTAAACTCCACAGTGAAGTAAGTTTCTGATGAGCTCCACCAGAGCAGAGACCAGGTTTTGTGGAATCTAGCTCCGACTACATCGATTCGCCCAAGGTCAATACTTTAAAAAAATTGAAAATATGAAATGCCTACCTTGTACCTGTGTTTGTCCTCTGTAGTTGTGCCTTCCTTCCTTTGTTGAAATCCATACTTTTTAAATAAACGTTAAACAAATACAACTACAGACTGTTTGCTCATTGCTGTTGCTCTAAAAAGATGGCAAGTCAGCACAAATGCACATGTGCCAATGGAATCTCAACAAGGAAACAGTCAGTGGTTGTATTTTATTAACGTTTATTGGAAAAGTATGGATTTCAGCAAACAAAGGAAGGCACGCAACTACAGAGGACAAACATATGTACAAAGGCATTTCATAATTTTTAACATTTGAAGTATTGACCTGGGGCGAATCTATGTAGTCGGAGCTAGATTCCACAAAGCCTGGTCTCTGCTCCACTCCGTTGGTGGAGTTCATCAGAAACTTCCTTCACAATGGAGTGGAGTTTAGTTCGCTATACCTTGGAGAATGTTATGGGCTACATGAAGATGGTCAGGACTTAGCCCTTGATTCTGACTCTCAGTTCCATTACATTACACATACAGTGAGCACCATAATTCATTGGACAGTGACCATTTTTTGTTATTTTGGTTCTGTACTCTAGCACTTTGAGTTTGAAAGGATACAATGACAATGAGGGCGAAGTGCAGACTGTCAGCTTTAATTTGAGGGTATTTTCATACATATTGGATGAACCGTTTAGAAATTATAGAAGCTTTTGTACATGGTCCCCCCCATTTTCGGGCATCAAAAAACATTGGACAGTTTAACATAATGCAGAATAAAGTAATCATTGTTAATATATTTGGTCGCATATCCTTTGCATGGAATGACTGCTTGAAGTCTGCGATGCATCAACATCACCAGACGCTGGGCATCTTCCCTGGTGATGCTCTGCCAGGCCTGTACTGCAGCCATCTTCAGTTCCTGCTTGTTTCGGGGACTTATTGCCTTCAGTCTCCTCTTCAGCATGTAAAATGCATGTTCAATTGGATTCAGATCTGGTGATTGACTCGGCCAGTCAAGTATTTTCCACTTTTTGGCCATCCAAAAACCCCTTCGTTGCTCTAGCAGTATGTTTAGGGTCATTGTCTTGTTGCATGATGAAGTGTCGTCCAATGAGTTGAGGCATTTGGTTTTATCTGAGCAGATAAAATATTTCTGTAGACTTCAGAATTCATTGTTCTACTTCTGTCTGCAGGTCACATCATTGATGAAGACAAGTGAGCCTGTTCCACTGGCAGCCATACAGGCCCAAGCCATAACACCCCCTCCACCATGTTTCACGGATGAGGTGGTATGCTTTGGATCATGGGCATTTTTATTTTTTTTTCCACACTTTCCTCTTTCCATCACTCTGGTACATGTTAATCTTTGTCTCATCTGTCCACAATACTTTTTTCCAGAACTCTTGGGGCTCTTTTAGGTGCTTTTTAGCAAACTGTAATCTCGCCTTTCTGTTCTTCAGGCTTATCAGTGGTTTGCATCTTGTAGTGTACCCTCTGTAGTCCTGCTGGTGTAGTCTTCTACGTATGGTAGACTTTGACACATCTACACCTGCATCCAGGAGAGTGTTTTTGATCTGTTGGGCTGTTGTCAGGGGGGTTTTCTTCACCATAGAGTATTCTCCGGTCATCCACTACAGTGGTCTTCCTCGGTCTACCGGGTCTTTTGACATAATTGAGTTCACCGGTTGTTTTTTTCTTGTTAATGATGAACCAAACTGTTGACTTGGGCATGGCCAGGGTTTTTGCAATGTTCCTGATTGATTGATTTTCATTTCTGAGCCTTATGACGGCCAGCTTCATTTGCGTCGACACTGCTGTCTTCCTCATGTTGTCACACCCCAACAACAACATCCAAAGGCAATAGCAAAGTCTAGAATCAATACTATTCATCAACAGCTCTTGTGCATTCACTAATGACGACACAAATGAATACACCTGCCTAACGACACATATGTGAAGCCAATTTAACAAATACTCGTAGTACCTTAAAATGGGGGGACAATGTACAAAAGGTGCTGTCATTTCTAAACGGTTCATCCGATATGTATGAAAATAGCCTCAAATTAAAGCTGACAGTCTGCACTTCACCCTCATTGTCATTGTATCCTTTCAAACTCAAAGTGCTAGAGTACAGGACCAAAATAACTAAAAAATGGTCACTGTCCAATGAATTATGGTGCTCACTTAAGTCATTGGAAGAAGGCGTCTTCTGTAGGGGGGAGGTTTGTTAAGAGCCCCGATGCTTGGTCTGAACATTAACACGCATTGGACCTTATGTTTCATATCAGCGATAAATAATTTTCTAAAAACAAAAGGTTAAATTGATACACCTTTATAGGGTTAGTGATCCCACACAGCCACATCTCCCTGTTACAATGCGTGTTTATGTATGACAGCGGGACCACTGCTAATTATCTATCTAGCATGCTCCAAACACCTGTGTGTAATGGAAGAAGGCCGCCAGAAACGTGTTGTCACTGAAAAATACTGTTGTTGGCTGCAACTGTGAAAGCCTGTTAAATCAGTAAGTGTATATTTTGCATTTGTGAAATTACTTTGATGTGATATGAAAGTAAAAGGGCTTTATGTTTCTAGAACCGTATCGCAATTCAGAATCGATTCACATATCTGGTTGTTTTGGCTGCCAGAGCCAGTCTACCTCTGAAAATAACGTAAGGTCCATGAACAAGGAGTAACGGTAGGCTCATTAACAGTACATCTTGGGCTAGTCAGGACTCAGGAGCAATAACAAAATAAGTATTACTATTATAGTTAGAGGGGTTTCTCTTTGATATATCAACAATTGGTTTCATTCATGACATCTATGGTGTCATGCAGTCAAGCAATAATTCGATTTGCATGGGGAGATTCAAGATACACGCGGGAAGAGTCATCTATCCTTCACGTCTGCCTGAACTCACATGATGATAATTATGCGTTGTCATCCATTCTAAACCTCAGTGTTTTAATAGGCCTATATGTGCGTAAACCAGACATAAATTCGTGCAATAAGCCAAAGCCAGGTGTCAACTTGTGATGGTAGAACAAAAAGTGAATGTTTTGTTTTAGCTACAACTCACCATTCATTCTGTTAGTCCGAGTCTGTTAGTGTTGTTGTTGACACACCACATGTAAACTAGTTCATGGCTCTTCGGTTCGACTTGGTGGATATCCAGAATTCTATTGCGATTCATCACATTCTGTACGAACCGAACTCTTGGTGGCAGAGAGCACAACTTCCATGATGCAGCCCTCGGTCCCTTCTTCCCATCAACACAACCTCGGGCCGTGGCCCACTGTTGCTCCTGACGGCTGAAACTACAGAGGCCTGCGAGTAGCAGTTTATCACAATCGGTATATAGTTAAACTGAGTCACATTTGTCGATAAAATGGTTGACTAACAAACCCAGCAGCATTGGTAGATTCGGCGACTGGACTGTCGTGGCTCTGGTAATCGTTAGTTGTAATAAAAGGAATTCGTTTTGACACTTCGGTGCCAATGCCTGCAAAGCGAAACAGCGTCGGCGCCGCAGGTCACATGACCAGACACGCTGTTGTCATATGACAGGTTAGGAGTGGTTTGGATCTGTAGAACTGTTAAACGTTCACTTGTTTTCAAAAACAGTATTAATTAATAGTTTTCTATTTTTATGAGAAGCAGCGAGTGAGAGAGTGATCTCTAGACTAGAGACATCAAGCTACAACGCCAGACCTCCACAACCCCATTGTCTTTTCCTCTGTATTTTAATCTGTGTGGTTAAAGATCTGTACTGTCTTGGTTGTGACCAGTATGGTGGTGCTCTCCTTAGTGGAAGGGACAGGCCGGCTGGAGTTGCAGTCTGGCTGTATGTTCCCTCCTGGAGAACCACGGCTCCAGCACAACTCGTCATGCTGTCCTGACCCATGATAACCACTGTCTGCTCAGGGACACCGCTTCCTGGAGTCGGGACACTGGGAGATAACGTTGACGCGAGTTACAGATGATACATCCAATTTTGATAAACTCCCATATCTATTGGGTGAAATACCACAGTGTGCAATCACAGCAGCAAGATATGTAACCTGTTGTCACAAGAAAAGGGCAACCAGTGAAGAACAAACACCATTGTAAATACAACCCATATTTATTTATTTTCACTTTTGTACATCAATACAACACTGTATATAGACATGACATTTGAAACGTCTTTATTCTTTGGGAACTTATGTGAGTAATATTTACTGTTCACTTTTTATTGTTTATTTCACTGTTGTTTATCTATTTCACTTGCTTTGGCAATGTAAACATATGTTTTCCATACCAATAAAGCCCCTTTAATTTAATTGATAGCGATATAAGCGTAAGGGTTAGGCAATGTATTGGGTATGGTCACAAGGATATGCATTACATTAATTAAGTGTTGAAAAAATAGTAGTTCTTGACAGAATAGTCACAGGTTGTCATGAATGGAGGGGAATATCCATTCATCACAAGTAATGAGTGAATCAATCACCAATCAAATCGCTGATCAGGATCAAATGTGGAAGCACATATTGTGACAGACAGGCATAACCTGTGTGCCTGCTGATAACAGCCAATCACTAATTTCCCATCATATGAAAGCATGCGTTGCCATATTGTGACAGACACAGGGCTGTGGCGGTCATGACATTTTGTCAACTGGTGATTGTCGTGCAAATAACTGCTGGTCTCACGGTAATTGACAGTAATTAACATAAACATGTTTAGCATCTCCTGGCTTCCACGCATAGCCTACAAGCCACAGATGCAGTATAATAAATCCATTTGACTTTTAATACATTCTAAGGCTGCGTGATGCAACTAATGATGATTTGAATACAGTTGCATGAAAGCAGTAGCGGTACGTGGGTAAAATCACTGGGAAGCCAAAAAATATATATACATTACAACATATGTATTGTGATAATTACGTTGTTTGCTCTATAACCTGTTAGTTCATATGCCTTGACACCGTGATATATAGACCTAAAGGCCGAGACAATAAGACAGTGGCAGAATAAATTCAACCCCACCTTTGTTTCATCACCAAACCGGAGAGCAACCTCTGTCTGTGTCACGACTTCGGCGAGGCATGCTTCGGCGTTCGTCGTCACCAGCTTACTAACCACTGCCGCCTCAATCATCATCACATTTGTCTTGTCTTGTCATTACACACACCTGGTTCTAATCCCCTCATTAGTCCGTGTATAAGTGTTCCCTCTGCCCCCTTGTCCTTGTGGGTGATTGTTAATTGTGAGAGTAGTGGAGCTCGGTGGAGCTACTCGTACATTTTGTGGCGAGGGTAGATTTCCCCCTGTGCCTATGTATTATTGGATTCTACCATTACAGTGTATTTGCCAGGGATGATAGTTTCCCTGTGCCTGTTTCATTGATCGCTATTTGAGGGCATTTGTGTGTCCACTAAGGAATAAACTCTGTATTCGGTGATTACCCTCCTGCGCCTGACTCCTTCCATCACACTCATCACAGTCTGTTGAAGTCCACAAAGCATATTGCATGTAACAAACAGTTACATGACCTACAGCATGGTCAAGCAAGTTAATGTTTCCTACATTTTCGGACCACTAAACAACTATTGATTTAGAACCACAGAGCGTTTTTTTTTTTTTTTTTCATTTTTTTTTTCACCTTTATTTAACCAGGGAAACCAGTTGAGAACAAGTTCTCATTTACAACTGCGACCTGGCCAAGATAAAGCAAAGCAGTGCGATAAAAACAACAACACAGAGTTACATATGGGGTAAAACAAAACAAAGTCAAAAATACAACAGAAATACATATATATACAGTGTGTGCAAATGTAGCAAGTTATGGAGGTAAGGCAATAAATAGGCTATAGTGCAAAATAATTACAATTAGTATTAACACTGGAATGATAGATGTGCAAGAGATGATGTGCAAATAGAGATACTGGGGTACAAATGAGCAAAATAAATAACAATATAGGGATGAGGTAGTTGGGCGGGCTAATTTCAGATGGGCTGTGTACAGGTGCAGTGATCGGTAAGGTGCTCTGACAACTGATGCTTAAAGTTAGTGAGGGAGATAAGAGTCTCCAGCTTCAGAGATTTTTGCAATTTGTTCCAGTCATTGGCAGCAGAGAACTGGAAGGAATTGCGGCCAAAGGAGGTGTTGGCTTTGGGGATGACCAGTGAGATATACCTGCTGGAGCGCAGACTACGGGTGGGTGTTGCTATGGTGACCAATGAGCTAAGATAAGGCGGGGATTTGCCTAGCAGTGATTTATAGATGGCCTGGAGCCAGTGGGTTTGGCGACGAATATGTAGTGAGGACCAGCCAACAAGAGCGTACAGGTCACAGTGGTGGGTATTATATGGGGCTTTGGAGACAAAACGGATGGCACTGTGATAGACTACATCCAATTTGCTGAGTAGAGTGTTGGAGGCTATTTTGTAAATGACATCGCCGAAGTCAAGGATCGGTAGGATAGTCAGTTTTACGAGGGCATGTTTGGCAGCATGAGTGAAGGAGGCTTTGTTGCGAAATAGGAAACCGATTCTAGATTTAACTTTGGATTGGAGATTCTTAATGTGAGTCTGGAAGGAGAGTTTACAGTCTAACCAGACACCTAGATATTTGTAGTTGTCCACATACTCTAGGTCAGACCCGTCGAGAGTAGTGATTCTAGTCGGGTGGGCGGGTGCAAGCAGCGTTCGGTTGAAGAGCATGCATTTAGTTTTACTAGTGTTTAAGAGCAGTTGGAGGCTACTGAAGGAGTGTTGTATGGCATTGAAGCTCGTTTGGAGGTTTGTTAACACAGTGTCCAATGAAGGGCCAGATGTATACAAAATGGTGTCGTCTGCGTAGAGGTGGATCTGAGAGTCACCAGCAGCAAGAGCGACGTCATTGATATACACAGAGAAAAGAGTCGGCCCAAGAATTGAACCCTGTGGCACCCCCATAGAGACTGCCATAGGTCCAGACAACAGGCCCTCCGATTTGACACATTGAACTCTATCTGAGAAGTAGTTGGTGAACAAGGCGAGGCAGTCATTTGAGAAACCAAGGCTATTTAGTCTGCCAATAAGAATGCGGTGGTTGACAGAGTCGAAAGCCTTGGCCAGGTCAATGAAAATGGCTGCACAGTACTGTCTATTATCGATCGCGGTTATAATATCGTTTAGGACCTTGAGCGTGGCTGAAGTGCACCCATGACCAGCTCGGAAACCGGATTGCATAGCGGAGAAGGTACGGTGGGATTCGAAATGGTCGGTGATCTGTTTGTTGACTAGGCTTTCAAAAACTTTTGAAAGGCAGGGCAGGATGGATATGGGTCTGTAACAGTTTGGATCTAGAGTGTCACCCCCTTTGAAGAGGGGGATGACCGCGGCAGCTTTCCAATCTCTGGGGATCTCAGACGTTACGAAAGAGAGGTTGAACAGGCTAGTAATAGGGGTTGCGACAATTTCGGCGGCTAGTTTTAGAAAGAAAGGGTCCAGATTGTCTAGCCCAGATGATTTGTAGGGGTCCAGATTTTGCAGCTCTTTCAGAACATCAGCTGTCTGGATTTGTGTGAAGGAGAAGCGGGGGGGGCATGGGCAAGTTGCAGCGGAGGGTGCAGAGCTGGTGGCCGGGGTAGTGGTAGCCAGGTGGAAAGCATGGCCAGCCGTAGCAAAATGCTTGTTGAAATTCTCGATTATTGTAGATTTATCGGTGGTGATAGTGTTTCCTAGCCTCAGTGCAGTGGGCAGCTGGGAGGAAGTGCTCTTATTTTCCATGGACTTTACAGTGTCCCAAAACTTTTTGGAGTTAGTGCTACAGGATGCAAATTTCTGTTTGAAAAAGTTAGCCTTTGCTTTCCTAACTGCTTGTGTATATTGGTTCCTAACTTCCCTGAAAAGTTGCATATCGTGGGGGCTATTTGATGCTAATGCAGTACGCCACAGGATGTTTTTGTGCTGGTCAAGGGCAGTCAAGTCTGAGGAGAACCAAGGGCTATATCTGTTCTTAGTTCTGTCTTTTTTGAATGGGGCATGTTTATTTAAGATTGAGAGGAAATTACTTTTAAAGAACAACCAGGCATCCTCTACTGACGGAATGAGATCTATATCCATCCAGGATGCCTGGGCCAGGTCAATTAGGAAGGCCTGCTCGCTGAAGTGTTTTTGGGAGCGTTTGACAGTGATGAGGGGTGGTCGTTTGACCGCGGACCCGTTACGGACGCAGGCAATAAGGCAGTGATCGCTGAGATCCTGGTTGAAGACAGCAGAGGTGTATTTAGAGGGTAAGTTAGTCAGGATGATATCTATGAGGGTACCCATGTTTACGGATTTAGGGTTGTACCTGGTAGGTTCGTTGATAATTTGTGTGAGATTGAGGGCATCTAGTTTAGATTGTAGGATGGCCGGGGTGTTAAGCATATCCCAATTTAGGTCACCAAGCAGTACGAACTCTGAGGATAGATGGGGGGCAATCAATTCACATATGGTGTCCAGGGCACAGCTGGGGGCTGAGGGGGGTCTGTAGCAAGCGGCAACAGT